CCGGTACGGCCTTGGGCCGATGCATGAGTTGAAATAAACTCAGGGGTGAAATAGACCCGGGGGTGAAATAGACTTGACACAGACTTGAGTTAGCAGATATGTATTGTATGCGGTATTTTGGGGAATTTACTAAGTTTCATGCTTACGGTTTTCAATTTATGTTTCAAGTACTTCCAGATCAAAAACGAAGAGCTCGGGATGATCGCATCGCACACACACCATGATTTCCGACTTACTTGATTCTGATGTATTTGGGATGTTTGATTGACATACTCTGTTTTTCCTTTATGGTTTTATAAACATGTTTAACTGAGGATATTATTATTATGAAAAATGAAATTTTTGGTCTTAAATTTTGGGACGTTACAATTAAGTTTTTCACAATGTAGTTGTCATGACGTGGTGACATGCTTTCCACGACGCTGGCCGCGACTATTTTGTCAAGAGGGTACCACAACGTGGCCAAAGGATGACTATGACGTGGAGGCCAACTGATGTTGACTTTTGACCGCGTTTGACTTTTTTTCAAATTGATAGTTTTAGAAGGTAGACTAAGGGTTTACCTTGTATGATTCCGTAGGAGGTGTGTAGCACCCGCTTTTCAGCTGTGTGAGCTTGTTAGCTATTGACTATGCTTGTGAGGCGAGTTTTCTCATTATACTATGTAAGATGCTAGTTGTCTTTGTGACTCTTACATGGAAGACCAAGGTTTAGCCCCTGGAAATTGTATGCAAGACGGGGATTTGGCTCCTAGAAACTGTATGAACACCAGTGTTTGGCCCCTAGAAGTTGTATCGAAGACTAGGATTCGGCCCATGACACTTGTACAAGTAAAGACCATGATTTGGCCCATGACAGAAAGTGATGGTAAGACTACACTTTAGCCCATAAAATTTATGGCGGGTTGAGATAAACCCATTATGTTATGTATGACATGTGGTATTTTGGGTAACTCAGTAATATTTTTGTACGGTTTTGTAGTTTAAATGTTTCAAGTACTTCTAGTTGCAAAGGGAAGGGCCGGACTTGGTCACATAGCATCCCCTGAAGATTATTCTGCACCTTTTATTTGATTCACTATGATGTTTGAGAATAATTTTTACATTGTTTTGGTTTTGAAAACAATTGGTTGTATCGCTTTTGGGTGTTTTGAAAAAATAATTTTTTTACTGGTATTTTTGGGACGTTTCAAAAATCTATGTATGTGAAGTTAGGGTTTGAAACCCTAACTAGTGATTATGTTAATCGATGCATTAGAGTAGATTATAATGAATTAGGTATTATATGGTGCTTAATTCATTGGTTGGAATATATTAAGTGATAGAGAATGAAAAGATAGAGTTTTAATCCATTAAGTGGTCATTTTGACCTTAAGAGTCATTAAGCTCTTAATAGGCTAAGACAAGTATTAAGAACTTGTCTATGTTTGAAACCATCTCTCTCTCTCTAAGTTATTTCATACATTTTAAGTATATATGTATATATGTTTATGTATGTGAATAGGCCTAAAAGCAAGAAGTTTGATCCAGATGCATCAATGTTTAAAATTAAAGAAGATGGGAAAACTAGTCTTCACTAACTGATAAGGTGAGTTATTACTCTCTCTCTTTCTCTCTCTTTCTTTAAGTTATTTTATACATTTTAAGTATATATTTATGTATGTTTATGTATTTTTGAGTCATGTACATGAGCATGTCATATAGGAAGAAAAGAAATGATTATATAAATTATAATCCTATGTAAGATTATGTAAATGTGGTTATACATGTAAGACATGTATCTGAGCATGTATGTATTGCCAAAGTATGTATAGATGTATAATGAAAAGATGTGGGTATTATGAGTAATACCTATAAGAGTAGACTAAGAAACAATATGATTATATGTAATATAATCCTATGTATGGTTAGAGATGGCAAAGGTATTTTCTAAAGTACCTAAGAGAAAGTAGATAGAGACAGTATATGATTATATGTAATATAATCATAAGAGTATGTATGTATGTCTAGACATTAATGGTATTGTGTAGAATGCCTATATGTTACTAAACATAGATATAGATTATGTACTTAATGAGTTAAGTACTACATGTGTATTAGAAGATATATTAATGAGATAAAGATATAAATTGTCCATGGGACATGTGTTATGTGATGAGTCACATAACAAAGATAGATGTGTAGAGAAATATGGTTCTTTTAGTGACAAAAGATAGAGGTTCCTTCGGGGACAAGATATAGATATTCATTTGGGAACAAGAGATAAAAGATTCCTTCGAGAATAAGAGTATGGTTCCCATGGGGACAAGAGTATGTTTCCTATGGGAACAAAGAGTATGATTCCTTCGGGAATGATATTATGTCACTACGGGGAAAGAGATGGTGATTCCCTTTGGGAATGTAGATAGATGGTTCCTACGGGAATCCACATTATGTATTATTAAAGAAGAATAGAGATAGATTCCTTGAGAGGAACAAGATAAAAGAGTTTTATGCAAGAATTTTGAGATAATCCATGAAGGATTAAGAGTAAGGAATATGTGAGGGATTCAAGAGTAAGAAGAAAGATTAAGGATCTACGAGGGATCATAGGAGAGAGAAGTAAGAACGGATGAGAATACCCGATAGTGCTAGTGAGATGTTGTTCCCCTTAAAAGATATAGAAGATTAGAGTATGAGGTATGACCGTTGGGTCTAGATGTGAACAGAATGCCGAGGCATTAGAGATAAGAATAGAGAAGAGAAAGAGTACAAAAAGAGAAACAGTAGAGAAGAGATAAAGTAGAGAACAAAGTAAGAGACAAAGATAGAGTATGAGTAGAGTAGAGTATGAGAAGAGCCTGAGAGGAGGCTAATAGAAGAGTATGAGAAACATAGTAGATAACAAACAAAAAGATATATGAGATGAGAAAGAGTAGAAGAAATGATTACATAAAAGATAGAAATAATAACTCACTAGGCATAGTGTCTAATGTAGTAGAGATTCATGTTTTACATGTTCAGGTAGCAGCAGTCGTGGTACCAAAAGAGAAGACAAGAGCACAATGACAAGACTTAGATATTATGATGCTATTTATGTATTTTCCTGTTCATGTAATTAGTTAGATTTTTATTGTAAACATGTGATTAAACCTGAGATTTAAAGTGTTTTAATTTTAGTAGAATTCCATAATTTTAGGTAAACTCTGATAATTCCCATAAATTAGATAATAGAAATTTTAGGTTGTTACAACTATAATGTATATATTAAGGAACAAAACAAAATTGCAAAAAAGGTCCATGTGGTTGTCAAAATTATGTAGGTTTTGGCCAAAATGTTTGGTGGTGATATAATGGTCTAATTTTGGATACCTTGTGTGTTTTTGATCTAAAAATGTTAACTTTAACAACTTGGATGTTAACTTTTTAAAATGACAATTTTACTCTCATGACTATCTGCAATCAAATTACAAGAACCATTTATACATCTCTTATTTTTAATTTTATTCAATTATTGTATTGGAGTAATTTTTTATTGGATTATTATATATTAATAAATATTATTTTCAATATATAATATTTGTATATTAATAAATATTACTTTATTGGATTATTAATTTTTTTTTAATAAATTAAAATTTTTTTATTGGATTATCATATATAAATAAATATTACTTTTAATATATAATACTTATGTATTAATAAATATTACTTTATTGGATTATTAATTTCTTATAAATATTTTTAATTTATTTTTTATTGGATTAATTCTATTTATTAGATTATTAAATATTATTTTTAACACTTAAAATTTATATATTAATAGTTATTATATTATTGGGTTATTAATTTTTTTAGTTATTTTAATTTTATTTTTTATTGGATTAATTATTTTTTGTACAACATCACGACCATCTTAATTTATTTTAAAAAAATCCCACCATTCCACCACTATCAGATTCGGCGATGATGGTGGTGTTTGATGTGTGTCGGACTGAATTCTAATTTAAGTTGATACTTGATTACATGTTTTTCAAGAATGACATTAAAATCAATTTTTTGGGTTGATTTTAAAAACTAATAAAATGATTAATAAAATATATTAAAATCATACATAAACCAGTAATACTTATATAAATATTATATATTAAAAATAAGATTTATTAATATATAATAATCCAATAATAAATAATTAATCCATTAAAAATTAAAAAAAATAACTAAATGAAATTAATAATCCATTAAAGTAATATTTATTAATATATAAATATTATATTTTAAAAATAATATTTATCAATATATAATAATACAATAAAAAAAGAATTAATCCAATTAAAAATTTAAAAAATAATTAATTAAAAGAATTAATGTATAATAATTGAATAATATTAAAAAGAAGAGATATATAAATGGTACATGAGGATAAAATTGTTATTTTAAAAGAATTAACAGGCAAACTGTTAAAGTTAACGTTTTTAAACAAGAAAATAAAAATGCATAAGGTAACCAAAATTGAACCGCTGATATACCACTAAACATTTTTGAACTAAAACCATATAATTTGAAAAACCAAGATGATACTTTTTGCAACTTTGTCAAGGAACAAACTTGCAAAAAATCAATTTTGTGGACTAAAATGTTATATTTAGGAAACCTGCGGCACCAAACATGTAATTCACTTAATTAAAATTTTATACTAATGCCAAAATTCGATTATGTTTCAACAAATAAGCGTCTTGAACTTTAACTGTTTTTTTTTTTTTAGAAATAAGAAAAAACATCATAATCAAAACGTTTAAAATATTCCACAACTAATCGTTTTCGACGTCAATTTTGCTACACTTACTCTACGAATTATTGCGGCATGAAAATTATTCTAAGAACAAAAAATCAAAATCACAAACACTTGTAAATTTCAATTTTATACCAAACGTCTGCTCAATAAAATTAGGCATATCTCCACAACCAAACACGTGGCACACGGTGGTGAAAGCGCAGTTTAGCACCATTCGTCAGGCACATGCACACATCTCTCCCTACGCCATTCCAACTCTCACACATTTCTCTCTCTCTCTCTCGATTGAAATTTCAAATTCTTCTGCAACAACAATGAGCTGCGGACCAGGACTCTTCTCCGATATCGGCAAAAAAGCCAGAGGTAATTCACTAATTTCAATGATCTGATTCATTTATTAATCTTCCTTTACACCTTCGAATCTCCATTTTTCTAATCCTCGTTATATTTATGGATCATCAAATCCACTGTAATTTGTATCTATATATATACAGAATTTTTTATTAGCGTCCTTGAAAGTGAGCGAATTTGTTTTGTGCGTAGATCTGTTAACGAGAGACTACATATCGGATCAGAAAATTTCTGTTTCAACCACCACTGCAACCGGAGTTGTAAGTATCATCTATAATGTTGTAAAGAGCAAATAGTTCATTGTGAAAAGTTCGTTTATTTTCGTTCATTAAAACAGACATAAACACGAATTTCCGATCATTTAGTTAAACGAACAAATATAAACAATGGTATTGTTCGTAACTCTTTCTCTAAATTTGGTTATTATTTAATATGTTAGTTTATGTTAAGTGCTTTTATTTTGATATATGTTAAGTTATGTTTAAATATCTATGTTCGTTTAACATCTTGACAAACTTATACGAATGAACATGAAAAAAGTAATTCGTTAAACGTATGAACATGAATGAGAAATTTCCATTCATTCATCCTTTCATGTTTGTTCGGCAGTTAACTTAACTGAACGAACATGAATATGTTAATGTTCGTGTTCATTCCGTTCGTTTACAGGTTTAATCATTGAAAAAACTCAAAATATTTAACGTTCCACTCAAATACTTGTTCATTTACTTCATTATCCAATTCGGTTTTTGCATGAATGTTTAGTGGAAATACATTGTGTTTCAGTAGCCAATTTATTAGAAAAGTAGTATCAGAAAAGTAAATATGCAACCCTAAATTATTTAGTTTTGTGAACATATAAAACTAGATATGCAACCCTAAATTAGTTTGCTCAATGTATTCAATAGCCAATTCATTAAAAAAGTAGTATCAGTAGCAAAATAATTGGTGCTCTTTCATTTCTATCAAAATATTCGCTATTATTTTGTCACAGTATTCATTAATTAAAAACATTATATATCACTTTATTGCAGGCAATAACATCAACTGCAACAAAGAAAGGTGGTCTCTCATCAGGAGATGTGGGAGCAGTGTACAAGTACAATAACATATTGGTCGATGTCAAAGTCGACACAGAATCAAAGGTTTTTATATTTCCACCTGGATTTTCAATTTTTTTTTTTATGATATAAGCTTTTCATATTTAACCTAATATCAAACCGATTTCGTAGATTGCTACAACATTAACTTTCACAGAGATCGTACCCTCAACCAAAACCATCGCGTCATTCAAATTCCCTGATTTCAATTCCGGCAAGGTACACTCCTCAATACGTACCTGTATCTGTATTTATATCTATATCTATATCTATATCTGTATCTATACATATACACCCTGTAAACAAATTATGTGTACTTTTGTAGGTAGAGGTTCAGTACTTTCATTGCCATGCTACTTTAGCATCTGCGGTTTCTTTGAACCAAACCCCAACAATCAACCTTTCGACTACAATCGGGACACCGTCATTTGTTATCGGTGCAGAAGCCGGGTACGAACCGTCTTCCGGAAGATTGACAAAGTACACTGCTGGCATAGGTGTTAACAAACCGGATTCCAATGCTTCCATAATCTTGTAAGCAATTACATCAACCATGTTGTTGTGGTGCATAATTCTCCAGTCATTCATCAATGACTGAGTATTTCAGATGATGTCCATTAATCTTGACATCATCTGATATGCTTTTTTTGTAAGCAATTACATCAACCCTCTTGTTGTGCTTCAGTCATTGATGAATGACTGGAGTATTTCAGATGATGTCCAGTAATCTGGACATCATCTGAATTTTTTTTTTTAGGTTGATGAAATTTATTTTTTAGGGGTGACAAAGGGGACACGATAAAGGCGTCGTATATACACCATCTGGATGAATTAAAAAAGACGGCTTGCGTAGGGGAAATTACGAGAAGGTTTTCGTTAAATGAGAACATGTTTACGGTTGGTGGGTCGTATGCGGTTGATAGTTTAACCATGGTTAAGGCGAAGTTGAATAACCATGGTAAGCTCGGTGCACTTTTGCAGCATGAGATTATTCCCAAATCGCTTGTGACATTGTCTAGTGAAATGGACACGAAAGCATTGGATAAAACTCCAAAGTTTGGTTTGGCTCTTGCACTCAAACCATGATTAAGATTTGGTTACTTTACTGGTGAGTTTATATAATGCATTTTTGTTTAATTAATTGAAGTGTAAGGTTTTTTTTTCTTTTTAAATTTAATTTTTTGTCCTCCATTGATGGGAGCATTCTCAATCAATAAGCAATTGTTGCATTATATAAAAAAAATTGTTTATTAAGCAGTTTCTTTTGATGAATTGTTTCTTATGACCATAAGAAATTGAACCAAAAATCGACATGTAAAGTAATTCATCCAGCAATATGTGATGAATTAACAAGTGATTCAATAAACCAAGATCAAAACAAAGGTATGAACATGAACAGAAGTTTGAATTTCAAAAACTCATGAAATTATCATTCTGCTAAACGTAAATCTCTATACGAAAACTAGTTTCAAAAAGCTAGAAGAATCAGAGAAAGCTTTACGAAAAGGTCAAAACAAGAGATGAGCAAATCATTCAATCAATCAACGTTCTGCATAATCTCCTCGGAGGTGAACTTATCTTCCTTATCCTTATCCGCCGCAGCACGTCCCATCGCTTTCCGATCAATCAACGATTTCCTATCCTTATCAAGTCGGAGCTTGGTGATGACACATTTTGAAGGATTGATTCCGACATTGACTGTAGATCCATTCACCTTCTCTCGTGTGATTCGCTCAATGTGAATCACCCACTTACGACGGTTTATATGTGCCGCGAACGATTTGCACCTCGTCATCCTTGCGGATCGGCATTGATCGGAGGTTGTGTTTTGAGCGTAGTTCGCCGGAAAGCGGTGCGCTCATCAGGACACGGCGGATACTCGACGGTGCTGAAAAATGTGCCTTCCGGTTCTTCCGTCGGGAACTGGTGACCCTAGGATTGTACTTCATGTTTCTTGCTGTCTGTGTGATTCCCCGGTCAACGCCGATGATTGAAACGACGACAGCTAGAGAGGAAAACTAGGGTTTATTGCAGATTTATCGAACTGAATATGGAGGCCTGATCCATATTTCGGTCCATTTTCATGGCTCAATCAATCCAGTTATACACCTTATACTCCGTTCTTTCACTTAAACCACTCGTGCTACTTTTTTATTTTTTATTTTTTTCCAGTTTTTGAGTAAATTACTAGCACAAGTGTCAAAAAATAATAATAATAATAATATTATTATGTTTGGCCATGTTTTAAAAAATTAATTCGGACAATCCCTTATTTGTTTAAATTTTGCAAGTTTTATTCCTAATGTCGTTAGCCAGCCATAAAAAGATGATTTTGCCTTTATCTATTTTTTGATTTATTTTTATTTGTTAGTTATATTTAATTAATTATATATTTATTTGTTTATTTAAAGTAATAGACCCCACCTCACATACCCTCTTTACCTCTCTCTCTTCATCCAAACACCATTCATAATCATCTAGAAGTATGGGCATCTCCGATCACATTGGCCAACCATCTCCAACCAATACTCTCCGGTCAACGGCCAACCATCTCCGACATATACTCTCCGGTCAGCTATTGGTCACCATCTCCAATCACCTACGACCACTTACCACATCTCTTACACTCTCATCCTATGTTCCCATTTGTCCCCTTCTTCACTTACACATTTTTCGGCACACCACCACCCATCTTTTCCGGTGCCATCACCATCACCACTGCTCTTACCTCAGATAACTAAATACCATAATGGAAAACTAATCACACATCCCTTTCTATACAAACACAACCACACCAAAAATGATTTCCAATAAAATCCAAAACCTACAACAAATCTGAAAAATTATATGAATCATTCATTCCCTTTCTCTCTTCTTTCACCTATGTAACCCGCCGGAAAGGAGGTCGGCAATCGTTGATTTCAATGGTGACTAGGGTGGTGGTCAGAACGAAGGAGGGGGAGCTCTAGAGTAGCGGGTATGGTGTTGGACCCCGATGGGTAGAAAGTTAAAGGTGGTGCTTCAGTTGTTTGCGTAAAAAGGAAGGTCGAAAGCGGTTCTATTTAGCCAGGGTTTTGAGTGAGAAAGAAGGAGATGGCAGAGGATGTGTCTTTAGTGAGTAGATCTGAAAACATACGCTTTCCGACACCACCACCATTAACCAACGAACATTGGAGAAGAGATGTTTTCCGGTACCACCACCAATAAACAAACAATAGATGTAGATCTGAAAACAGAGAAGAGAGAGAGTTGCATTTGGAGTGTAGATCTATACACCCTCGATGGCGGTGGTGACGACGACGGTAGAATAGTCATTTTACCGTCATGAAAATGGAGAAAAGAGAGAGTTGCATTTTGTTTTTCTTTATTTTTTGTTTTATTAAATTGTTAATAACCAACAAATCAAAAAAGAAATAGAAATGGTAAACAGTCATATTACCGTCGTCAAGGACGGTCCGAGTGAGAAAAAAAAACATGGACGGTCCGAGTGAGAAAAAAAAACATGGACGGTCCGAGTTAGTTTTTGAAAATAGGGACTAAACACGCTTTTTGACACTTTGGCGAGGAACTAATCATGTAGTTTACTCTCCATTTTTTCTGCTCGGTTTCAATCCTACCCCATTTATTCTTTTATTTTGAAAGAAATGACTAGAAATGAAATAATACTATTAATTCTTCCTAAAAGTGGATGAACTTTCAATTGTCGGTTTTAATCTTTTTATATATTTATAAATTTTAAGTTTATTTTTATTTTTAGTTATAATTTAAATGTAATATTTAATATTTATAATATTTTGTTATATATTAAATTATATTAATTAAATATAAATATAAAGTTTATATTTTATGTATCAAATTCATATACAAATTCAAATACATATTGAAATTTTAAAATAGGATAACGTATTTTACAAGTGTTATAAATATAATCTTATTTATTTAATATTATTGTGATGAAAAAAAAGATAGATTATATATATATATATATATATATATATATATATATATATATATATATTAAAAGGTAATTAGTAGAAGGGTGTGGTTGAAAATATATGTAAGTTGTAAAAAGAGAATATATTAGGAATATACTTTTTGGATTAAAAATTGGGTCAAAAATGTGGAATATGGTTGGAGAGGAAACACTATTTATCCCATTTTTAAGGAAAAATTGGAGATGGTATTAGTCACCAGTTTGGACCAAATTGAACTGGTTTTTGGTATAAAATGTCCTAAAATACTAAGATTGTGAAAATATTCGATAATATGATATTATATTAGAGAACATTTTTGAGTGTTGTGTTAAAATCAACCTAACAAGTGTCTATACAAAGAAATAGGGGCAAAAAATGGTCACACTAGGATACAAAAAATCAAGTTTCCTACAATTTGTAGAACAAATCATTTTTTTTCAAAGCAATTTCAACGAACCAATCCTAATCTTGGTTTCAACTGCTAATTCAATTCCCGAACTTGTAGCCGTTGGAAGAAGTTGGTGGTGGTGAGGAAGAAGTTTATGGTGGTGGTGAGGAGGAAGTTGGTGGTGGCAGTGAAGAAGTTAGTGGACCATGAGGTACTTTGTACCGTTGTGCTACACTTCGGGGTGAAAAAATTTTGATGAAGCTTGTTATTTTGCTTTTTTTTGTATGAATTGGGCCCTTTGTGGCATGGACTTGTTTAGGCCTTGTGTAGCCATAGATGTAATGGCCTATATGTTCTGGCAATTCGTATGTCGTTCTTGGTTTCATGTACTTCATTCTACGTGTTCTTGATGTTTTCATTTATCTTATTGTCTTTGCTTTTTTGGCTTGTTTGCTAGGCATTTCTGTAACATCCGGATTTTCAGGGACATTATTGTGTATGTTGATCTTGAGATTGAAGGAGGGACTCGACGAGTTGAGGGACCAACTCGCCGAGTCGAGTCGAGTTGATCGCGTGGATTTAATGAGTGGACTCGGCGAGTCAGAGGAGGGACTCACCGAGTAGGTACTGGGCAGAGAAACCCTAATTGTCCGGGTTTGTGACCTATTTAAAGGCCCTTATGGCCTTCATTTGCGGCTACACTTTCCCTTGAGAGCCTGAGAGAAACCCTTAAACCGTTCTAACCTTGGTGAAGTGAGTGTGTGATCATTTTGGGCAATCTTGGTGCATTTCTATGAAGAAGGATGAAGAGCTTCATGATGGGGAACAAAGGAAGGCAGTGGATCTGTGGTATTGAGTGTTTCAGCTGCTAAAAGAAGGTACAAAGTCCTCATCTTGCTCATTCCTTGTACTAGATCTCATTTTGGGAGTTTTAGGGCTTTGCTTCCATCCTTTTGAATCTATGACTTGAATGAGACATGATTTGAGGTTGGAAACCTCAGATCTGGACCTCATAAGGTCCTTAGAGTCTAGGTGTCCCAGCTTTAGTCGTCCAAATGAGGGTTGATGAGCTAAATCCTTCATGAAAGGCATATATTAGCATTTTGGAGCAATAACCTCATGTATGAACGTAAAGATCGAAGCTTTACGTGATTATTGAGCCTTGGGATGATAGATCTAGTGTTTGGAGTGATAGATCTGATTGAAATCATCTGAATGAACATTTGGTCTGAATGAACTCGTCGAGTCGATAAGCCGACTCGACGAGTTGGTTAGGGTTTGTCCCGAGGAACTGAATCATGCGATAGCTCGACGAGTTGGAGGTCAACTCGACGAGCTGAGCTGGTCTGTCACGAGATTTCTGAGGAAAGTAAGTGGACTCGACGAGTCGCAAGGGTGCACTCGGCGAGTCGGGTCAAACATGGATTGTTGACTCGAGTTTGACTTCTGTTGACTTTGGGGCTTTGGTCAACATGAGTAGTAGAGACCATGGAGGGGTAAAATGGTCTTTTATCCACTTCAAAGGGTTAAAGAGAGGAAGAATAGCCTTCGGTCATTAGAGTTGTGATTAGAGTATCACTTAGAAATATTCATCCCTTGTGATTAGGCGGAGGGTGTGGTTGAAAATATATGTAAGTTGTAAAAAGAGAATATATTAGGAATATACTTTTTGGATTAAAAATTGGGTCAAAAATGTGGAATATGGTTGGAGAGGAAACACTATTTATCCCATTTTTAAGGAAAAATTGGAGATGGTATTAGTCACCAGTTTGGACCAAATTGAACTGGTTTTTGGTATAAAATGTCCTAAAATACTAAGATTGTGAAAATATTCGATAATATGATATTATATTAGAGAACATTTGAGTGTTGTGTTAAAATCAACCTAACAAGTGTCTATACAAAGAAATAGGGGCAAAAAATGGTCACACTAGGATACAAAAAATCAAGTTTCCTACAATTTGTAGAACAAATCATTTTTTTTCAAAGCAATTTCAACGAACCAATCCTAATCTGGTTTCAACTGCTAATTCAATTCCCGAACTTGTAGCCGTTGGAAGAAGTTGGTGGTGGTGAGGAAGAAGTTTATGGTGGTGGTGAGGAGGAAGTTGGTGGTGGCAGTGAAGAAGTTAGTGGACCATGAGGTACTTTGTACCGTTGTGCTACACTTCGGGGTGAAAAAATTTGATGAAGCTTGTTATTTTGCTTTTTTTTGTATGAATTGGGCCCTTTGTGGCATGGACTTGTTTAGGCCTTGTGTAGCCATAGATGTAATGGCCTATATGTTCTGGCAATTCGTATGTTGTTCTTGGTTTCATGTACTTCATTCTACGTGTTCTTGATGTTTTCATTTATCTTATTGTCTTTGATTTTTTGGCTTGTTTGCTAGGCATTTCTGTAACATCCGGATTTTCAGGGACATTATTGTGTATGTTGATCTTGAGATTGAAGGAGGGACTCGACGAGTTGAGGGACCAACTCGCCGAGTCGAGTCGAGTTGATCGCGTGGATTTAATGAGTGGACTCGGCGAGTCAGAGGAGGGACTCACCGAGTAGGTATTGGGCAGAGAAACCCTAATTGTCTGGG